AATTAGTTATTTAATTTACAACATTACTATTTTTAGTTATTTCATAGACGAGTTATATTAAAATTAGTCTTGCTATTATCTATCCTTGTGCACAAGGGTTAGTTTGCAATTAGGATTGTTTGGGGTATTAATACTCCCTTTTGCTTAATAAACGTATGGATTTATTTGCTTAATAGTGTTGTTTGGTTTTTCTATCACCGTGAGATAGATAATTGGTCCTCATTTACACTGTGAGTAAAGGCCTCGTTCTTGATATTTTTTTCATCAATTGGTACCAGAGCCCTCTATTTGGGATTGCTAAGCAAGCATGACTAACCGGTGAGCGCCTGGAGACAATTGGAAAACTTCATCGCCCAAATCACTAAATCCCTCAATACCCTATCCATCAACATGAATCATTAAAGAAAAAGAAAAGATCTGGAAAAGGTCATTAACAACGATCTACTCAATCCAAATCGCTCAAAAAGGTCAGGATGAAAGAAACGGCGACAGGAGACCACTTCATCCTCCTCCTCTTCCCCCCTCTCTTCCTCTTCTTCCTCCTCTTCCTCCTCTTCTTCTTCTCTCCTCCTCCTCCCTCTCTTTCCTCTTCCTCTTCCTCCTCATCCTCTCCTCCTCCTCCTCCTCCTCCTCCTCCCTCCTCCTCCTCCTCCTCCTCCTCCTCCTCCTCCTCCTCCTCCTCCTCCTCCTCCTCCTCCTCCTCCTCCTCCCTCCTCCTCCTCCTCCTCCTCCTCCTCCTCCTCCTCCTCCTCCTCCTCTCTTCTCTGCTTCTTCTCTCTTCTTCTCTTCTTCTTCTTCTTCTTCTTCTTCTTCTTCTTCTTCTTCTTCTTCTTCTTCTTCTTCTTCTATTCTTCTTCTTCTTCTTCTTCTTCTTCTTCTTCTTCTTCTTTCTTCTTCTTCTTCTTCTTCTTCTTCTTCTTCTTCTTCCTTCTTCTTCTCTTCTTCTCTTCTATCTTCTTCTTCTTCTTCTTCTTCTTCTTCTTCTTCTTCTTCTTCCTCCTCTTCTTCCTCCTCCTCTTCCTCTTCTTCCTCCTCCTCTTCCTCTTCTTCCTCCTCCTCTTCTTCCTCCTCCTCCTCCTCCTCCTCCTCCATAGGTTTGACGGAAGGAAACGACTCATCTAGCAGTGCCTCTGGCAAATCCGAATTCACCCCCACGGAAGACCGCAGGGGACCTCGACGGGGTGATTTACGAGACCACTTAAAGATTGGTTTCCCAAATTTTTGGGTGATAATCTAATCGTTATGGTTGGATAGGGTGCGACAGTATTTTTCTCTTCAAAGGAATTCAAGGTTCAAAAAAGGTTTTGATGGCTTCTTTTCATCTTGAGGGGGAAGCAAACCATTGGTGGCAATGGTTCTCGAATTGCCAAAACCATGAGGATATTTCTTGGAAACGATTCGAGAACATAACGGAATATTAAAACGTTTTGGACTTACACTCTTTGAGAATTACGATAAAGTGCTGAGCAAAATTAAACAAACAGGTTCTTAACGTGAATATCTTCCGGAATTTGAGAGATTATCCACACGAGTACGGGGGTGGACCACCAAGGCTCTATTAGGGACGTTTCTCGGAGGCCTAAAGGAGGAACTATCCTCGATGTGCACCTTTTCAATCCCAGAAAGTAATCAGAGGCAATGGAATTGGCCCGCCATATTGAGGAGAAACAACAACAAAGCAGAAGATCAACAATAAAACCTTCTAGTTGGCTAGCATCCCAAATAGTTACACCTGGACAGGGTAATTTCAAACCAATTCCATCCAACACAACAAGAAGACTGACGGTGGAAGAGATGTGAACTTGTCGAAAGAAAAACTTGTGCTATAATTGTGATGAAAAGTTTGTACCCGATCACTATTGTAAAGCATCACAATTTGTTATTGAAATTGGGGAGGACCATTTACTCTCATAATGTGAAGGGTAAGATGATGAAGAAAGTCTAGTGGAGTCCCAAATATCAGTACATGCCCTAGTTGGAGGTGTGGATGCTCGTACTATGCGGGTGCGTGGATATATCGGTCAACAATGTTATAACGTCTTAATCGACTCAGGATCAACACACAACTTTATTATGCAGGAGGTGGCAACCCGTTTAAAGTTGGTGGTTTCCCTGATCACTCCCTTTGATGCTAAAATTGCTAACGGAGACCAGCTATGGTGTACTGAAAAGTATGCGCAGGTTACCCTCACAATCCATAGATATACATTCATTACTGTGTTATACGCCTTGCCTATCACGAAAATGGACATCGTACTTGGGATGCAATGGTTGAAAAGCTTGGGAAAAATAACCGCTGATTATAATTCCATGTCCATGGAGTTCCGGACTAGAGAGACTACTCACATCATTACAACAGATCATACTCCATCGCTGCAACCGGCGACTGCAAATGTCCTGCTCGAAGACTGGCGATATGGTGCAGAATTATTTGTTGTAGCCGTTAGAGCTGGGGTGGTCAATAGTACTATTACAGACCAGCAACTGCGCAGGGAAATCCAGGACATGCTAAACCAATTCTCCCAGGTTTTGGAGGAACCTCGAACACTTCCACCTTGACGACGGTTTGATCACTGGATTCGCTTAAAAGATGAAACTATGACAGTTAATGTTTCTCTGTACCGTTATGCACACTTTAAAAAAAGCAGAAATAGAACGGCAAGTGGAGGAAATGTTAAGAGTCGGATTTATCCAACCTAGCATGAGTCCATTTTCATCACCAGTGCTATTGGTAAAGAAAAAAGATGGCTCTTGGAGATTTTGCACGGACTATTGAGCTCTTAATAATGCGACTGTCAAAGACCAATTCCCAATTCCAACCATAGATGACATGCTTGATGAATTTTATAGGGCTCACTATTTTTTCAAGCTGGATTTACGTGCATGCTGGCTACCATCAGATACGGGTTCATCTGGATGACGTGTGCAAGATAGCTTTTCAGACACATAGCGGGCACGTACTATGAGTATCTTGTCATGCCCTTCGGGCTTTGCAATACACCATCCACATTCCAGGCAGCCATTAAAATGTTTTGGCCACTTCTAAGGGTTTTTATACCCGTCTTCTTCGATGACATACTCATCTACAGTCGGACGATAAACGAGCATCTGAACCATTTACATTGCACACTCAGGATCCTAGCACATCACCTGTTCTACATCAAGCCAGAAAAATGCCTTTTCCTCCAAATTAAGGTAGAATACCTCGGTCACTACATCTCTAGGGAAGGGGTTCATGTAGATCCGTGAAAGATAGAGGCAATGGTACGCTGGCTAATACCCACAAATGTCACTACTCTACGAGCTGGGTCTTACGGGTTACTATCAGAAGTTTGTCCAAGGTTATGGTCTGATCGCCCAACCGTTGACTCGATTATTATAAAAGGGGAAGTTTACTTGGGATTTAGAATCAGCCCAAGCATTTAAGGCTTTGAAAAAGGCTATGACCTCAACTCCGGTGCTTGCATTGCCCGATTTCACTTCCGAGTTTGTTATTGAAACCGATGCTTCTGGAACGAGAGTTGGGGCAGTGTTATCACAAAAGGGTCATCCAATCGCGTTTATGAGTAAAGCGTTGGGACTGGCAAAGCAAGTCTGGTCGACTTACGCAAGGGAGATGTTTGTGATCCTAGAGGCAATTCGAACATGGCACACCTATCTCTTAGATCGCCATTTTACCATTTGTGCAGACCAAAATAGTTTACGCCACCTACTGGAATAACGAATTACTACACCGGACCAACACAAATGGATAGTCAAACTGTTAGGTTTTGATTACTCCATCATATATAAGTCGGGGACCACCAATAAAGCTGTTGATGCCTTGTCCCGCCGGGATAACCTGATGACAGAAGAACCACCAGAGGCTGTTGCCATCTCAGGACAATTATGGGCTCTATGGGACGAACTACGCGAACAAACAAAAATTGATCCTTATTTACAGAAGATCTCCCGAGAGCTTCAAATCCAACCCGCAAGTCACTCAGATTACACCATTCGTAATGAGTTGTATTGTACACAAATGACGTGTGTTGGTCCCAGAAAATGGTGGTTTACGGATGCAACTCATTAAAGAATTCCATGGCACATCAGAAGGAGGTCATTCGGGAATGTTGCACACCTTTCGAGGACTAAATCAAGTGTTTTCTTGGGCTGGTATGCGGTCTACTATCAATAAATCTGTACGAGAATGTGAAATATGCCAAAGAACCAAAACAGATTCTTTATCCCCAGCTGGTTTATTAACTCCTTTGCCTGTGCCAATTGTAGTGTGGGCTGATATAAGCATGGACTTCATCAAGGGCCTTCCGAAGTCCTAAGGAAAAGATGCAGTGCTTGTAGTGGTGGACTGATTTACAAAATACGTTCATTTTATGTCCCTGTCACACCCGTTTAATGCTAAAGAAGTTGCTGGAGTGTTTATTCGTGAAGTGGTCAGATTACATGGGTTTCCTGAGACTATTATTAGTGACCGGGATCGTATATTCATGAATTTATTTTGGAAAGAATTATTTCGTTTGCAGGGCACTACTTTGAAAACTAGCTCTGCTTACCATCCGGAGACTGATGGACAGGCCGAAGTGGTGAACAGGTGTTTGGGACAGTATTTAAGGGGGATAAGGGTCAGTTTGGTCCTCGAAGTTGCAAAAAAGGGGTCAAATAAGTCCTTATATAGAAGATTCTGTCCGGACGTGCCATTTGAGGTGGCTCCCGGTGGAATTTTTTGATGAAATTTTTTGAACATCTTATTCATTAAGTCTAGTTTACTCATACCAAATTTCAGATAAAAATTCAATCGGGAAGACATTCAAATGAATTCTTGAAGATAACTGTGCTGTTAAAAGCGCTGTTATCTTCACGAATTCATTTGAATGTCTTCCTGATTGAACTTTTAGCTGAAATTTGGTATGAGTAAACTAGACTTAATTAATAAGATGATCAAAAACATTTACCACAAAATTCCACCGGGAGCCACCTCAAATGGCACGTCCGGACAGAATCTTCTATATAAGGACTTATTTGACGCCTTTTTTGCAACTTCGAGGACCAAACTGACTCTTTACTCGTATTTAAGGTGTTTTGTTCACAATTACCCCAACCGATGGAATCTATTTTTAACATGGGCCGAGCTATGGTTTAACACAAGTTATCATCGCTCAATTAATATGACGCCTTTTGAGGCTCTTTATGGGCATCCCCCACTTATCCTCCGGTCCTATAAAAATGGAATGTCGCCCTTGGCCGAAGTTGTTGAGCAAATGTGCACCCGTGAAGTTCTACAAAGTTTACGTCATAATATTGTTGTAGCAGATAATCACATGAAGCAACTAGTTGACACAAGAAGACGGGAAGTTCACTATCAGATAGGTGACCATGTGTATTTGAAATTGGAACCTTTTCGGCAACATTCTGTTTTTAAGCGGGTTAGTCAGAAATTGGCATGTAAATTTCTTGGTCCTTTCAAAATATTTGAGAAGTTCTTTGATGTTGCTTATAGATTTGATCTGCCACCCGAATTACGAATACATCCAGTCTTTCATGTTTCGCTCCTTAAAAAACACATTGGGGATGATATTCCATCAACAACAACACTACCTCCATACTCATGTGATGGCCAACCTGTTTTTGAACTAGAGAAAGTCATTCGCTTTCGTAACATAAGAACCCGATCATGAGTAATTCGTGAAGCCTTGATCACGTGGGCGTCTCTTCGTTCTGAAGATGCCACATGGGAACGAGTAGAGGTCATCAGACAACAATTTCCTGACTTTAACCTTGAGGACAAGGTTCGACTTCGAGAGGAGGGCAATGATGAGGATGCAGGGCCAATGACCCGTCATAGTAAGCGGGCCCGAAGAAGCAGTACAAGACTTCGGAACTATTTTACTTATTGAAGCTTCCTGATCAATTGCGATAATTATTAGCTTAAGCTTATTTAATTAGTTATTTAATTTACAACATTACTATTTTTAGTTAATTCATAGATGAGTTATATTAGAGTTAGTCCTGATATTATCTATCCTTGTTGTGCAAGGGTTAGTTTGCAGGTAGGATTGTTTGGGGGTATTAATACCCCTTTTGCTTAATAAAACGTATGGACTTATTTGCTTAACAACGTTGTTTGGTTTTTCTATCACCGTTAGATAGAGAATTGGTCTCCTTTACACCGTGAGTAAAGGCCGCCGGTCTTTATATTTTTTCATCAGAGGACCATTTTAACTATTTTTCATATAATTTTTTCTTTATTTTATTAATAAATTATATTTTAATTTTTTTTCACAAATTAGAAGAATCAACCATTGCAGCCACTTCAGTTAAAACTTCATAAATTTCAGCAGAATCAACCGATACAGCGGATTTGAGTGTTAGCAAACGGGCCCTCCATATTTTACCTCCATATTTTATTTAGTGTGTCCTTGCCTAAGATTGCATGTTCTTCGAGTAATTACTTTTTCTCTAGAACATCCTCTTAAGGAGAGGTAGTAACATGATGTGGAATACCATGTGAAATTAGATCCCATTTCTCGTACAGATCACATCACATCTTAAATCTAAAAAGATTCACCCAACTCATGTCTAGACCACAAAACACTTGTTTACTAAAAGAAATACACATGTTAATTACACATGTTTCTAGCCCAAATTCTTATATACTCTGTACTAGTTTATTACTACGTATTATTTTATACAAAATGGGTGTGATACAAATTTAATGTACTTCAACAACCCCTTTACCACAGGCTCTTAATGGGCTACTATAAATCACGTGCTATTGCTAAACAAAAAATTACTCCGTAAAACACATTTGAACTCGACTCTACTACCATATTAAAAATTGAGGTTACATTAAAAAGGTTAAACTATTATAAAAAGTAGTTCAATGTCTTATATATACTCCCCATGTTCCAGAGTTAACTCTACCGTTAAGTTTGACTTTTGTGGTCAAAGTTTATTTATGTTTGACGATGGTTATTTAAATATGCATGTTTGTAAAATTTATAATAACAGATATATATTTCATTAGTACATACCTAATTACATAGCTAGTATTACACTAATTATTTAAAAGTGTTTTGTTCCTTGTTATGCATTAATGTAATTTTTAAATAATCAGCTATCAAAGTTAATAAAGTTTGACTTTAAAGTCAAAACTATAAAGTAAGTTATGGGAGTGGTAGTATTAGTTTACTACTCTCTCGTTCTCACAATTAAAATTTCAGTTTGACTTTATGATCTTCTAGACGGACGTTTGATCATAATTATCTATAAATGAATACATTTATAATCTATAATAAATTGACATTTGAATAATTCATATCACAAATTTACAATGAAGCACAAAAAATAATTTTTTATGGATACATATTGTTAAATGTTTAGTAATTGACGGTCAAAGTTTAACAAGGTTGACTCAAAAGTCTAACTGAGACTTTAATTGAGGGATGAAGGTAGTATTATACACTAAACTAGTGTGAGATGAATATAATCACTCGGATAGTCGGATATATATGAATGTTTCAAGTATACTCTTGTACTCCGTATGAATGTTTGTAATTTGATCATCTTTGTAATTTGATCATCTCTGATTGAGGATTTTTTATTCAAAAGTGAGAATCAAGCATAATATATTAACACGTGTTATAAAAAAGAACAATTAATTCGAGCATAATAATTTTATTTCTAGGTGCGGGGATCCTACTGACCTACTTTAGGAGAAAATAATGAACGGGATCCAACTGACCTACTTTAGAGGAAAATAATGAAGTCAATACTCCGTGTTTAATTTTGGGGGTACTAGTATTTAGGGGGATTATGTTAAAATCTAATTCATACCCCTTGTATTCTTTTACTCCATCCGGTTCACATTAATCTTTACACTTAACTTCACATATATTAAGGAAATAAATTTGATTTTAATATAGAATACACTGTTTGACACTGTTTTGCATTGTTTGGTGTAGATTTGTAAGGCAAATAAGGAAGTGTAAAGTTTAATATGGTACTTCTTAACAAGGAAAGTATAAAGATTAATGTGAACCGGAGAAAGTATTTGTTACGACAGATTTTTTCACTAATTTTAATCATAAAGCAATAGAACTATAGAAGTAATAGAAAAGGTACGAGAAATGAAAAGTACAAAAAGTAAGAACTATGGAGTAGATTACTCATTCTGTTCTCTCATACTTGTCCTCATTTCCATTTTGAATTGTTCTTAATAGTTGTATTTCTTTTCATTTTTAGAAAGTTTTTTCAATATACATCCGTTCTCTTTCATACTATTTAATTCTTTTTCATACTTTTTATTTAAACACAACTCACTGCACTTTTTACATTACCCCTATTATTTTTCTCTTAATATTTGTGTCAAACCCTATAGGGACAAGTATTGGAGAACAGAAGGAGTATTTTTTTAGGATGTTTTCTTTTGGACTCAAATTTGCTGGTCTAGTCTGGTCTGGTTTGATCTGGTCTGGTCTGATTGGTTTGATTTGATAAATGTCTAATTTCTGTGTATTTTATAACTATGAAGGTCTGATCTGGTCTGGTCTATTATGGTCTGGTCTGGTCTGATCTGGGACGAAAAGCAATTTAAAAGAAAAATCCTTAATACTCCATGTAAGGAATAAAAAAAATGAGAAAATGTTGCAGAAATTTATTTATTTTTTAAAAAAGTTTAGCAAATAAAAGAATATGGGAAGTACCAAAAAACAGAAAGCAGATAGAAAAATGATTAAGTGGAGAGAGTGTTACCTAAATATTTGGGACGCACAGAGAGTAAGAAGCTATATACGCGGCCAGCTGATACCCATGACCCATCTCGACAAAGGGAATTCGAGAAGCAAGTGATTGCCTCCTTAGTTTTGAGGGTTAGCTCTGAAGTCAATTAATCCAAATACGTATATTGTCTTCAATTCGTACAATATGTGATTTGCATGTTCCTCCACCATGTGTTCTAAGGGCAAGTTGATGCCCCCAGCTACTACTGAGGAGTCTCACTCTTCATTACAACGCCCCTCTTTCATAATTTGTCATGTTATGAAAGAGTTACAAATTGCAATTCAGAGTCTCTTCGGTCTTTATTCTTGGCTTTTGGCTTAATAAAACACTTATTTACCAAAACACTGCCAATTTTTTACTTTTCTCGACTTTCAGGTGAAAAGTGCTTTTCCCTTTTCTATTACACAAAAAACACTTATTTTACCAAACACTACCAACTTTTACTTTTCAAAATCACTTTTTCCTCAAACACTATCAACTTTTACTACTAATCACTTTTTCCAAATCACTCCAAAAGTGTTTTTTTAAGAAGAAGCAGATGCAAACCCTCCTTGAATGTGTTGGGGGAGTTGAATGAAAAGATCTGCTGAACTATGATAATATATATATATATATATATATATATATATATATATATATATAATCCGTACTATACTATATCAATAAAATACGGAAATTTTCATATGATAACGGCTAAAATAGTCGAATTCAACAATTTCAGTCAGAAAGGAAACTTTACCTTAAGGCCCATTTGGTAACACTGAATAAAATTGGTTGAATCTGCTGATATTTATGAAATTCTGGTTGAATTACATTGATCGAATCTGATGTGCTTTGGAAAAATTACTTTTAAAATATATTTCATTAAATAAATCAAGAAAACATTACGTGAAATAAGCTAAAATGGTGTTCTATATTAACTTTAGTTGATTCAATAAAAAAGCAACTCCAACCTTAATTATTTTGATTATTACTCAATTAAGCGAGCAAACTAAAGTTGAGAACTACATATTTGATAAAAAAAAAACATGGTTAATAAGGCTGAAAATAGGGGATACCAAACAAGCTCTTATTTCTATTATGTGTTTCTTAAAAAATGATTGATAACGTTGATAAACAGAAAAGAGATGTTAAATTACCAATTAAATGAGCTCCGAGTTTTTCACATAACAAAAAAATATGAATCCCAAGTCAGATATTTTAAAAATGGACAAACTAATTCACTTACATGAACTAGTATAAATATTTAATTAATTACGTACTCCGCCTGTCCTTCAAATAACTTTCTCTATTCCTTCTTCCTAAAAGGTTGAATCCCCACCTCCCCTCACGTCATGACCCGACAAGACTTTTGAGAGGTTGTAATGACGTCACGGTGACTCAGCCGGCTTAATGGTGATAGACTTTGTACCTGTGAGCACGAGAGGTTCAGCCCAACACCCATGAGCTGTAAACTTTTTGTATTCCTTATTAATGAGAATATTATCCGAAATAGGAGTAAAAAAGTTTAAAATTCTAACATAGGACTGCCATGTTTTTATTCCCAAAATAGGACTAATTACTGACATGTTTTGGCAGTACCAGACTTCAAACATGATAGTATTTTTCAAACTTGGCAGTAATTACTCATATTTTGGGAATAAAAACATGGCTGTCCTATTTGGAATTTTCAAACTTTTTTACTCCTATTTCGGGAACTTTCCCCTTATTAATTGGAATGTGTCTAAATAAAGTGTTGGTTTCTCATTTGGTAAATAAATTCTTACTTGATCCCTCCATCCTATTACTTCCTCCGTCCCAAAAAACTTTGTCATTTCAAAAAATTTGAACCTTAATTTTGATTAGTATGATATTATGAAAGTTAGAAATTTTATATGTTTATGAAAGTACTTTTAACAAAGAACATTTTCATATAATTTTTATATTATAAGTAATATTCAATTAAAAGATATAGTCGGTCAAAGTTTTGAAAATGGCAAAGTTTTTTGGGACGGAGGTAGTATAATTGTGCAGTTTTTCCCTTTCATCTTGTATAATAAATTCATAATAATGGATAATATTTATTTGAGTTTGAATCATTCTTACCTTTTCACATTTTATCAATATCTCCTCCATGGCTGCATATGACCAGGAGCGTAGTTGGGGGTTGGCCAGCCTAGGCCCCGCCCCACCTCAAATTTAAAAAATAAATGTAATTTTAGTCTAAAAGGCTCTGTATAAATTTTTTCCCCAAAATATTCTTTGTACCGGTCCAATTCGGCCCCGTGTTCTGGTTCCACCCGTGCGCATATCAAACTATTATGAAGTATGAACAACTTCAAAACCATACGGAGTATTTTTCTGTTGACCCCAACGGTAAAAGTCTACTTTCCCCAACATCGCTTCTTTTCTCTTCTTGTTGACCCCAACCGTAAAAGTCCGGGGACAGGTAGTATCATTTGCTCTATTACATTAGAGTAATAGAGTACTCTTATACCTGACCGGAGCCCCGTCCGGCCTCCTCCATTTGGGGCCTTTGCGGTGGTATTTTTTGCTCAAATTTTTTGTGTAGGTTTCTCATCAAGTCTAGTTCATCTATACCAAAAATACATATTCCGGACCAGTTAACTTGCAAAAATCATTTGACGATCTTCCCGATTGAATTTTTGGCTGAAATTTGGTATGGATGAACTAGACTTGATGAGAAACCTACACAAAACATTTGAGCAAAAAATACCACCGGGAAGGCCCCCAAATGGAGGAGGTTGGACGGGGAGAGTGGTCCGGTCTGGCCGGACCTGAATAGTTGTGTAGAGTAATATAATCTCAAATTCCATTTCAAAAAGTCAAAGGTAAAAATTCTCTTTTATAAAGTCTCTGTTTTTCAAACAAGTTACTAAGAACACCCTAATAGGCTAATAGTTCCTTACACACTCTTACATGTAGCTGAGTCTTTTTATGCGTAGGACTCAGCTACATATATTCATATTTATTTTAATTTTCATTTTTATCACATTTAATCCATTTCATCTACTTTTAATTTGCTCCAATCCTTGAATCCGGTGCAATGTCCATTTGTGAATGTTGTCATAGACATGGTTTACAATTTATTTCTCTCTCCCCATTTTTTCATTTTCCCTACACACCATTTTGTCTACATACTATGTATACTATTAGATTAAAATAATCATTTTGAGCCTGTTTGGTAGTCCATTTTTTCAACTCATCGGGCTTATCAGATAACGTTTTCACCAAACACGTCACTTTTGGTTTCGTGCGCTGAATTGTGAAATAATAAGAAAAAGTGTTGTTGAAGTTACTTTTCTGGCTATATTGGCTGAAATTACCGCAGAGGAACATTTTAGGTAATCTTTCATATAATTTTTTATTTATGTTATTAATAATAAATATTTTAAATATAATTTTTTTCAAAAATCAGCATAATCGGCCAATCCATCCACTTCAATCAGAACTTCATAAATTTCAGTATAATCAGCCGATTCAGCTGATTTCAGTGTTACCAAACAGGCTTTTTACGTGTATCCCCGACCTATGTTACATTACATAGGAACAACTTTACTGCTATCCATTTTTCCATTTGAGATAGCTCTAAGTGACTGGTATGATATCATTATAATGCTGATTAATACTCCCTCCGGTTCACATTCTTCTTTACAGTTTGACTTCACAAATATTAAAGAAATAAATTTGACTTTACTGTTTGGCACTGTTTGGACACTGTTTGGCACTGTTTGTAAGGCAAATAAGGAAGTGTAAAGAAGAATGTGATACCAACAAAAAAGGAAAGTGTAAAGAAGAATGTGAATGGAGGAGGGATTAATATTTTAAGAGATATTACCCGAAATAGGACTAAAAAAGTTTGCAAATTCCAAAGTAGGACTTTCATGTTTTTATTTCCAAAATAGGACTAATTACTGTCATGTTTTGGCAGTACCAGACTTCAAACATGGCAGTATTTTTCAAATTTGGCAGTAATTAGTCCTATTTTGGGAATAAAAACATGACAGTCCTATTTTGGAATTTTCCAACTATTTTAGTCCTATTTCGGGAACTTTCCCATATTTTAATCACATTGTACACAAATTTGTAGAGTATGGTACGTACAAGGTAGATATTCATTAACTAGACTAGTTTCGAAACAAGTTTTAGAGTAGACTTGGTCACATATAGATCATAGGATTGAAAGCATGGACAAAGCAGGTGAAACTTTGATGACACCCACCCTACATACATAAGAATCCACACTTCAAAATTACTTTCTGTTGTCTGACTTTTCTCTTTAATTTAATTTTTTTATACCCATCATCCCAGTCTCTTCTTCTCACTTCTTCTCACTTCTTCTCTTATCATTTCATCTCCTCCTCCACCGACAAACCTATAGCCAGCTACTATATGTATATGTATATATATACGGCGCCATCATCAATAACATCTGATTCTTCTCATCTAACAACATACATACATCTCTCTCTCTATCTATCTGTAGATCACTGTTCAGAAAACATAATCTCTGAGCTGAATTGAAGGAAGAAAGCAGGAAAAAGAATGGTACAGCCCAACAAGTTCAGAGGTGTCAGACAACGCCAGTGGGGCTCTTGGGTTTCAGAAATCCGCCACCCTTTGCTGTATGTTCATATACTGTATATATATTCACAAATTCACACATATATAGTGTGGAGTATATATATCTTCAATTCATCACTACCCTGCTCTGGGCATTTGCACTTATTTTATTTCATTCTTTTAATTAATTAATTCTTCACCTACATTCTTTGTAATTTTATACACACTTAATGGTATTTGCTAGTCTATTTATGATAGCACATTATAGATTATATACACATCCCCTTATATATACACCTGTATTCTTTGGCTATTCTTTGTGTACACGCTTTTTTTTACCGCATAAAATTTCCAAAATTTTCCAATTTTTCAATCTTCTTTAACGAATTGCCTCGTTATAGGGGCTTTGATAAACGGGGCATGTACAAAAGTAATTTTTCTTCTTTAATACATAATACTCCATGAGTCCAACCTTACTTTTCAAGTTAATTTGTTATGTTTGTCTTTGGAATACAAAATTAAAAAAGTGTGATTGTAATTTATGTGGAGAGTAGAGAAATTATAAGAATTACTTCCTCCATCCTTTAATTATCTTCAAACTTTTCTTTTTCGTCCGTCCCTAAATTATCTCTCATTTTTCTTTTTGGCAAAGAATTTGTGATTCATAATCATTCTTACACATTTCTCTCCTCTGCACAACTCTCCACCACACAAAACTTACTATTTTAATCCCCGTGCCGGGTCAAAAGGGGAGAAAAAACAGGGAGGGAGGGAGTACTACATATTGACTCTGTATAAATTAATTAATTTAAAGAGAAATTAAAGTGATGAATTTTTTGGGAGAATATAAAAGTAAAAATAGTCTAATAGAACAGAGATAATATGGGCTAACTTTAAGCATTGTATTGTTGATGCATTTAAGTCTGATACACTTACTATACGTACGTTCGGTAATTATTAGTTAAACCTAATGTATATTGCCAGAAATTAAAAGATAGTTGAAATTTTATAAATAAAACTAAAGCAGTTCACTTTTTTTTTAAATATGATCATCCTTAATTTTTAATGAAATTTAGAGACATTCACCTTGCAAGAAATTATAAACTACTCCATTATTCTTTTCATATCTAATCATATTTATGAATATGACACATGCATTATTTACTCTTATTTACCCTAATTTCTTAAATATACGTAGTAATTATTATGATAGTACACATTTTATGTACTAGACTAGACTTGCATATATACTAGCTAGTTTGTACACGATTTCTACTCTATATAACCTATGCGCTATCTCATATTGAACTAAAAATCCACTAATCATTCTTACACCATACATTAAGTATCTATTTATGATAGCATTAATACTATTATACTCCCTATAAATTAAATGTTCCAACCAAATGAAAAGTAGTTGAGTAGTTGAGTAAATTTATATTCTCTTGAGTTGGTGACGTATAGTTCGTTGAATGTAAAAAGATGACTAAATTTGTTTGTGTGGTCAACCCACTATCCATTGACTGATAATTTTTTATTCCGACTTCTGAGCTATACTTAAATAATTTTATTTCAGAAAATATAAAGACGTTTTGTAATGTACGTAGTAATACGGAGTAGGTAGTACATAGACAAAAAATCATTGAATTTATTACGAGATAACGTTAGTCTCTAGTGTAAAATAAAACATAATTATGATCACTTTAATGATTATACTCATTAAAATACAAAAGATCACATTTTTATTTAAAAATGACAATATAGTATCTTCGTCCCTTTTTAGTTAGTCATATTTGACTTTTCCAGCTTAAGATAATAAACTTTGACCAATTATTTTAACTAATATATTTATGCAAAATTTAATAATATAATAGATTTATGATAGAATTTTTAACAATAAACATTTTCATATCATTTTCTTATTATATATTAACACTTTCTCTATATAAATATATAATCACTCATAGTTAGACACCATTATCTCAAAAAGTCAAGTTTGACTAACTAAAATGGGATAGAGGAGTATAATTTACGGAGTACTACGTATAAAATGAAAGAAGTGGATAAAAATAAAAGATGTGATTTTTATACTTTAGTGGCAATTTTAGTAACTTTAGTGATTGTGCTCATTTTAATTTTAAATATAATTGAGATTTACCATAAATAAATAACTTAAAAGATGTGTTTGTTTGTGTGGTGGGTCATATATACATATATAGAAAGAAAAGGATTTGGCTGGGGACATTTGAGACTGCGGAGGAGGCCGCCAAAGCGTACGATCAAGCAGCGGTATTGATGAACGGCCAGAATGCCAAAACCAACTTTCCCACTGTGAATGACAAGGGCAGCAAAGCCGTAAACGCCGGCGGCAGCGGCGACGGGAGTGGTGTAACTCCGTCCCCGCCGATCCCCGCCGACGTTCTAAGCGCGAAGCTGAAGAAATGCTGCAAAAACCCGTCCCCGTCGATCACTTGCCTGAGGCTCGACACCGACAGCTGCGACATCGGGGTGTGGCAGAAAAAACCCGGAGGCGGAGGAAAGAGCGGCGGTTCGGGGTCGGTTTGGCTTACGAAAATCGAGCTCGGGGGCAGCAAAAAGATGTTGGAAGATCAACTTCAAATCCTATCGCCGTCATCGAGTGACGGCGATGACGGAGGTTGGTATAATTCTTGGGGTGGAGGAGAATCATCTTCATTATCATCAATGTCATCATCATCTAATGAGGCTATTATTGCTGAAATGGATGAAGAAAGTAGAGTGGCATTGCAAATGGTTGAAGAGCTGCTTAACTGGAATTGAATGAAGATTCCAAGCAGTGTTCCTTTTCAATTAATGCTTTCATGTGCCTGCATAAAATAATGTAATATATATAGTATATACATACATATATATATATATGTATAATAATATAGATATATACTAATAATAATTATAAACTAACAAATTATTTAAAAGGGGAACCTAGAATTATATATATACCTCCTTTGAGCTTGGGATCATGCATTCAAGTTGGGAAATTGAAGCAGCTTCTTGCAAAATTGGTTACCTAAATGCATGGTGAGGTCCTCTGATCTGTCCATCCTGTTGTTAAATAATGGAAAAATATTATTTTTGCTAAAAATAAAAAATTATTCCTCACCAAATAGAATTATTAGTTACTTTTATTCTATTCTGGAAGTGAAGAATTATTTGTTAGTAAAAGAACTAGTTAGATATTTATTCTTTATTTTTATTTATAAATTTGATGTCTTTATTGTTCTAGTTGTCAGCCAATATGGGCTATGGAGTAACAATTCATTCTAGTTAGCTCCAATATTATGTTGTAACTAATAATAAACATAAATAAAAGACTGAATATAAAATATTATATTTTGTTGTATATTCAAATATATGTTCTGATGCCAGAAGAATGGAGACATGAAGGGCACAAGTCTTCAGATGTTTATTTATTAATTTATCCGTTTCGATCAATATTATTATCAAGTGCTCGGGTCAAGAAATTCGTTTAATATTTTTTCATCAAAAAGAGTTCTTTAAATCAGAAATTGTCCTAAATAGGAGTAGAAACATTTTGAAATTCCAAAATAGGAGTATCATGTTTTTTATTCCCTGAATAGGAGTAATCTGCTATGTTTGAAAAAAAATGTCATGTTTAAAGCCTTGTAATGTCAAATTTGGCAGAAATTTACTCATATTTAAGGAATAAAAAACATGATACTCCTATTTTGGGATTTCAAAACGTTTTTACTCCTATTTAGAGAATTCTCTTCTTAAATTCTTTAAAAGTATAGTCAAGAAGGAACATATTTTAATTATCAATTCGCTCTAATATACGGAGTATAGAGTAACTCTTTTAGACTTGTCTAACGTTGGTTGAATACTTTTTAAGATACAACGTGAATAATTGAATTACAACATAATGATTGAGTATATATGGAAATATAAAGAGATAATTATCCTACTAAAACTTCTTCACTTTTCCAATCTATGACCTAACTAGTTTTTTTACCAAAATAATATTAAAATTCATAATATTTAATTAAAATTCGTAATAAATAAATAAATAAATAATTTAGGTGGACAAATATACCCTTTAGGTTATATCTATAAAACCCTAGGCTCCTACTCTTTTCTCCAACCCTGGTTTCCATTCTTCCACCTCCATAGATCCACCCGGCTACAGCCGCACGCCCCTGCCGCGCGCCGCCGCCCCTGCCGTGCGCCGCCGCCCCATAGCTCGATGTCCGCCGCCGTCCAGTATATCCGATTGAAAGTTTACTGCACTGCACTTCATTGCTGGGTCGCTTCAATGATTCTCCGCATAAGTAGAAGTAGCCATTGTTATCGCTGGAGAAAGTTGCTGTGTGGATAGAGTCGTGTCCGCCGTTTGTCTCTGGCACCACTCGTTTTGATAGAATTTTGACTGAAAAGTAATTCTACTTGATTTTATCTCATCCCACCATTTATTAGGATAGAAAGGAGATTGGCTTTTCATCCGTATCGTGTCAGAATATGTTTTGGTTTTATTAGAATTCATTTGAATTTCGCCACACCGAAGTTGTGTTGTTGCCTGTTGTTGATGGAATTCTATTTCGGAGGAACAGAAATCAATTCATAAAGCTTGATAATTTGGAATAGTCATATGATGCCCACGAAATCATGGAGATGTGTTATGGACGGCAGAGATGAAATTTGGGATCGGTAGTGCGGCCGGTAATTGACAAGCCAGTAATTTTCTGTTCTGTTTAATAAAAAAATTAGGGTTTGTGGACATTGAACATTGACATTGAACATTGGCATTGAACATATCAATAAGTATTGACTGTTGAGTATAGGCAATGAATATGACAATTAATAATATTGTACATGGCAATGAATGAATGCATTGAGAAAGTTTGTTGAGCATTGAAATACAATATACCTAATTAGATGTGAAATAATAAAATCATTAAATCGAAAAAATAAAAAATAAAAATAATTTCCTAAAGTGAATGTGAAGAGAACTAATTTTGACGGAAGTGCAATGATTATTACTGAATGTGCAGAAATGTCGTGCATTTATGTTATGCATTAATGTTGGCATTAACGTCAATATAAAGTGCAATAATTTTAATTGGACGAAATTAGTGCACAATGCACATATTTTAAATAAGAGTATTTTTGTCATTAAACATTTAAATAGAAACGAATTTTCTATTTGTTTTTGGATTTTCAGTCATGCAAAGGTATAAAAACTAGTTAGGTTATAGATTGAGAAACTCATTGAGTTTTAGTCATATTCCGATAAATTTCCCAAATATAAAAATGGAAAACTATAGCAATTCGAGTGAAAAATGATCACTATTTTTTTAGTAATTTCACATTGTCCACTTATGTTAATGGAACGTCGGCGCTAAATGCGGCATCACCCTATTTTGTTGAAAGGATATCACCAGGGCGCAGTGACGGACCTAGTATTTACATTTTGGATGATCAAAATTACACATTTTTTCTTTAAAATATGAATGAATTAATTATTACTCTATTTCGGATATATATATATATATATATATATATATATATATATATATATATATATATATATATTCCCATTATTTTTTTACTTTTGGGTGTTCACATGAACACCCTTGCATAGAAGAGATCCGCCCCTGCCAGGGCGTAGCCAGGAGTAAGAGTTGGGGCTGGGCCGGTATAAAAAATTTTTACAGATAAATTTTTACACATCAAGTTTTAAGTTTTATATTAGAAATATAAGCAATTTTAAATTTTGGGCTGGGTCGTGGCCTGATTGGCCACCCCAACACCCGCGCCCCTCGATATCACGGTATCACCTACTCCGTGTAATATATAGGGAGTAATAATATACCCCTTCATTTTATATAATTTTATTAAGTTTGAAAGACACATAGATAAAATACGCAGTAAAAGTTAAAATGTTAAAGTATGTATAGAGAAAAAAAGAATTAATAGGAGCAACAAATTAATTATATAAAAAGTAAATTAAGAAAGCCTAACAATAACAAAAAAAATACTCCCTCCACGCCAAATTGAATTGAAAATTAGATTTTTTTTGGATTAAATTAAACTGACTCAATTTAATCACTTAATATAATTAAAATATCAATTCTTAATTAAATTTAAATTTAGATTTTGTAATTTTATAGAGATTTTAGTTTAGTTTCTAAATATGTAAATTTTAATTATTAAAGTTGAATTAATTTTATATATGAATGGTTTAGGTTGAATATTAGGATGTTTTCTTTTGGACTGAAATTTGCTGGTTTGGTCTGGTCTGATCTGGTCTGGTCTGGTCTGGTCTGGTATGGTAAACATCTGGTCTCTGTGTATTAATGTAGGGGTTAGGACTACAATATTACTTAAAAATGATCGGTGGACAAAAATGAATAGTTATGTTTTAATTTCTAAAAATGTGACTAAAATTTACTAATAGGACCATTACACCCTTAATGAACCCAGGACCACATAGCTTGCTACAGTGACCCGGTACAGTGACCAAAGTGACCAAAAGTGTTCAATGACCAAAGTAACCAATATTTACAGTGACCAAACTGACAATTATCACAGTGACTCAGTAAAGTAGTGACCAATGGAACAGCTACCATTGGTCACAGTGACTTCCTCACCGGCCACAGTGACTGCCCCACCGGCCAAAGTGACTATCCACCGGCCACGGTGAATGCCCCACCAACCACAGTGACTGCCCACCGACCACAGTGACACCGCCATAGTGACACACCAACTTCGATCACCGACCACAGTGACACCGCCATAGTGACACACCAACTTCGGTCACCATGACCATGTGTGCCGGCCACCGGCCTCCAGCCACCACCACTGACCCGGCAACCGCCACCGTCAAACCTGGCCACCGCCACCATCTGAATCGGCCACTGCCTACGGCAAACCCTTGCCTTCCGCCACTTCTCTTTGCCCCACCCTAGCCTAAGCAGAGCCCCACAAAACACCGGTTACATTCCAGATCTGGTAAAGGTAGATCAGGACCTGCCTTCCGCCACTCCTCCCTCCTAAATCCGATGAAGCAAGTCGTCAGATGGATCTCGCCATCGAAGGATGAAATTCCTGACCGGATCTACGAAGCTCATCGTCTCCATTGGAGGAGTTGGCGCAGCCTGAAGAAGGTGAAGCTCGAGAAGCGGTTAGAAGGAGAGGAAAGGAGAAGAAGAGAGTGAGAGTGGCAGGTGTAGCCGCCGACGCTCTCTGTAACTGCCTCCATCGCTAATCGAAGCCACCACTGTCGAGCAATGAGATGATGCAGACGATTGGTGAGGATGATGTTTGGGCGCAAGGGTGAAGACGTCTCTGGAAGTCTGGGGCGTAAATCTTGATAGGGCAGGGATTGAAATTTGGGGTTAAGATCAGGGGTATTTAAGACATTTTAACCCACTTTTGTTCAGTTTTTTGTCCAAATCGGTACTGCTCACATATTTGTCCACCGAAGACTCCACGGTCTTCTTTTAGCCATTCTTTGATTAATGTATTATATAACTACGGAAGTCTGGTCTGGTCTGGTCTGGGACTTAAAACAACCAAAAGAAAGTTGACAAAAACGTTAACGACATAACAATTTGAAACAAGTACTAGTACAAAATTAGAAGAGACAACTGCACAAAACAAAACAAAATTTAGAAGAGACAAAGAAAAATAGTACGTACTCCCTCCGTCCCAAAATTAACTTATCACTTTCCTTTTCGGGCAGTCCCGAAATTAACTTCACACATCAAAACTTTACTTATTTGGCAAATAATCTACATCAAAAAAGTGCCAAACAATGTCTAAACAGTGACAAACAGTGTTTATACAGTGCAAAATAGTGCACTCCACAGTAAAGTCAAATTTATTTTCTTAATATGGACTATAAAACAAAACTTACTCCGTATTATAGACTCTTCCAAATTACTCAATCTTTCTTCCACCAATCCACGTAGACACAGCCAATCAAAAATTGATTGATTGGATAACTGACTACTCACTCACTTGTTTTTTTTGCTCGAAGAAGGCTTAATTCATAAAAATAGCATTCAGCAAGGGAGTAAAACTAGAAAAGAACCACAAATAACCATCCGCCCGTGGCCGAGACTGAGAGCTAACCACCTGTAAAAAAGCAGTATAACTCGCTAGACCAAAATTGGGCAACTTAAAGCCAATGACGGTTACCGCAGACTTTCCCTCCCCCAACCTTAATGCAAGAGTCTTACAAGGAATAAAAGCGTAACAGAAAAACGTAACAGTAAAATAAAAATCAAAGTAACAAAACCAGACCAAAATAAAACAACCAATGTAAGTTTTCTTCACTCCAAGCATCCAACATAGACTCGGCGGGTCTAATGAGCCTGACTCGCCCCCTCTCCATTTTTTGGCCTCTCAAAAGTCATTCCATCATCATTAGCATCTGCTTCAGCCTGTTCATCCCAAACC